CGCAGCCTGCCGACAAACACTTTGCATCTTATTTTAGTACCTTTCGATGATGAGAACATTTATATTCAAAGGAACATGGTGAAGAATGAGTTAGATCTTCACAATGGGACGTGACATCTACTTCCTCTGTTCATAGTTAATGTCATTAAGTCAACAGTAACCTTTAAAAATACAGTTTATCCTGATATACTTTTACCGTAACCACTCGTGCGTTCGTCCGTCGCTGACAGACCCCTTTCCGTCCTCGAATCGAGACAAATGCGATGTCATTCGACTCGGCTCGGTCTCCTGAAGGGGAACCGGTGATTTTTTCGGATTCATTCAGAACATTCAAAGAAATTTTTCCAAAAATGGTATTTTTTGCCTTTTTTGTGCGATCTAGCGGTGGCTGTCCAAACCATGTGTACCATCGACATTGTCTCTTTTTTTGTCGCCAAAACACTTGTGTCCACAGCTTAATGTGACACCAAAACGGTGGCCCACATCAACCGGGCGATGTATGGAAAAAGGAATCGCCCGCTCGCCGCTGTTTATAGTTTGTGGTGCAGGGCTTGGATGAACTCGGAAGTAAAATGTTCATCTTCAGAGTTGATACCACATGGGATAGGTAACGTTTTATAGGATAATTTTATGTGTAACACAAACGACAGTGGTAATGGGATAATCACATTTTGTAGGTTAATTTTAGCTACAGAATTGTTTTATTATATAAATCTATGCGAATGAGAAGGTGTGTTCCAGAATAGAAGCTGGCAAATATATACTTTTTAATAAGGAAAAAAAAACTTTTTAACATATTCTCTAAACTGTTCAGAAAAGAAGACTAAAGGCGTAAGAACAATGATTTCACCGCGAAAAAACAACGCATAGATTATATCCGGAAAAATACTCTGCAATTATCGCATAACTGTTTCCTGCGAGAGCACCTCAGCACAAATATCATGCTTTATACAAACATTTTATTTCTATGCCATTGGCGTTGTGTTTTTTAACGGAGCTGGAACTGTGCACTTCTTTGAGTGTCTGCAGAAGCAGGAAGGTGGGTCACACCGCTGACACTTGCGCTTCATATTCTAAGAATTCTCTGGTGTTACGCTGAGAGACTGCCCCGCTTTTCATCCAATCATTGTTACCAGATAGTGTGCTCTAGTAGGCTTTGAATCCGTTAATTCAATTGGACAATGCAGTCCCCACTTAATTTGCCTAACGCATTCGCAGTACGGCAAAATCAGATTCAACATGGCCTCCGTGGCAGGCAGAAGTGTCTGCGTATCTTTTAAAATTATTCGAGCCTTCGTGCACACTGAAATCTCATTCTAGTTTTGGCACTAATAAGTAACAAACTGTGCCTATTTGCCACGAACCGATTGACATGAACCGATAATCTGTGCTTCGCACCAACTGTAGAGCTCCATGAACGAAATTGAGTCTCCGGCGTGAGCGGGATTGGTCGTACGTGCTTAAGTGCACGCAATGACGACGTGCTACCAGAACGAGCCTTGGTCAACAGTGCGAACAAACTCTACGAGTCGGCTGATGTAAAATATCAACAAATATCAATATGTAAAATGTGCGATGTGCTATGTGTCTATTACAAGAGCTGGTGCATTCGAATTCCATAAATGCTAAATGTTATAATCCTAGTTGTGCATATGAATACTGTACGCAGATTTCTGCCACCCACGTCCCATTGAAGTAACCATATTGAGCTATCTTAGGGTTCTGGCAAGACTACCTCATTATACAGTCAACTTTCTTATCAACCACCCACTAATTAAGAGAGAGTTATATTTGAATAGGTGGAGATGATTGGTTGACGGGCAGTGCTGCGTTCACCCACTATCTTGTAAACTGTCAAGCTTTTTGGTATTTTTTCTGTCTAATATCTATTTTTATAATTATAATATCTCCGTTATTTATTCTTACAAAATCAAAAACAACAACAAAAAACTATTGCAGTGGAAATAAAAAATATATTGAAAGTATGAAGTACATTGTGTGATTTTTCAAATTCACGAAATTATTTATTTTAATTTGCAATAAATGAAATAATAGCGACAGTATATTTTGTCTTATAAATCAGCTTCATTTTATCCATCTAATGGCGTTTTTACCCGTTCAGAACAAAAGGTAGAATTAATGCGTTCAATTTGTTTTGGTTGGGACCACTGTATCTCGCTTAAAAGAAACAACGGATACTTAAGAAACATGAAATATTTTTTAAAATATCTCTACTTCTCGCACAGTTGGCTGAAACATACCTACATTCACTGCGTGTTGCTCCTGGATGCGAGAGATAGAAAATACAGAGAGAGACAGCAGTTATTCAGCACATATATTAGGGTACCAACCTGGTTAATATCAATGACAGCAGAATGCTTAGATGGATTATTCATATTGAGTGTACTTCGGAAACTTGATTTATAGAACTGAGAATAATAAAACTATGAAATATTTCAGAGAATTTCATAGAATCCGCGGAAAATTTAGATGAATTAATAGTGTGTTTGTTCGATTAAATACTAAAAACAGTATTGTTTGCATATTATTTGAATTTTTCAGAAATTAAATTGCTTATTTTTATCTTTATTTATATTTTTCTTTTTTCATTTTAAGAAAGTAGTTGTTATTTTTCATTTATATATAATAGTGATTACTCAATTATTCATTATTAAATTTATAATCGGGTTTAAATTCTCTTTAATCACGGAGGTTATAGAGGTCAATGAGTGATCTAATGAGTAGGTAATAGAGGTAATTATTATGAGATGATGGAAAACTAGTATAATACGACATGTCATCATTCGAATGGCCATATATGGATTTCACCACCTCATCTGTAGCACAAATACTTTCCACGATCCATCCGACAGCTGCTATGTAATCAAAACGAAAAGCCTGTGAACACTCCCAATCATGGGAAAGAAAGTTTATTGTAACGACAAATGCACATTTATGGGAACTTACTTATATTATTATTATTATTATTATTATTATTATTATTATTATTATTATTAAAAATAATATAATGAGAGGCAGAGACAACGTGAAAACCCGAAGACATCTGTCATTGTCCACCGTAAATTCCGCATATTGGACAAAAAACAAACTCTTTGGGCAGTTGAAGTAAGTTTCAAAATAATGATTTCAAAATAGTTCATTTGGGGGTGAATATAAAATGACGTACTGTAAATACGCATTCAAAATAAACGTCATATTTATGAGGTTTGGTTTATAACAGAGTTTTGAGGGGTTTTCAAATTAACAATGAAGGAATAAACCTTCTTTTGTTCAAAATAACAGACAACTAAATTTGATAGTCTGTTTGGAAACCTACACTGATAAATTTTTGTAAAAGAAATTCAGCAAACTGATACTCAATATTGTCTACATTCACATGTGTAAGTATTGAAATCAAGTAATAATATGACATTTGTTGGATGTACTTGCTCAGATAGATTGCAACAGTCGTCCGAAACTTATTTCACAGAATACGTTCACTTAGGAATCTGAATTGAATTTTTTGCATTCAATATTCTAGCATCATCTAGTTAACAAATACAAAACGTAGGTATCTATATAGTAGAACAACTACTTGAAAGTCATGTATTCTTAGTTTTTCGTATTTTTTATTAAAAAATGTAATTAAAGAATTTACACGATATGATTCAAACTAAAATTATTGTTTTAAATGATTGAAGGTTTAAATAATAAAAATAATATGATTAGTTTTAAAAACATTTCTTAAAACCGCTCAATGACTGAGAATCACTATTTCATGCTTTTAAAATTTGTGTTTTCAAATTCCTAAATAAATACAAAACTAGTTTTGTATTTTTTTGCTATAGGCCGCTGATTACTCTCAATTTTCCCTCTTCACTCCGTACAACATCCATAGAATATCTCCATTGCCACGAGCGCAGGAATAATACCAACAAAAAAATTCAACTGCGTACCCGTGACCACCCAGCAGCACACATCAGCAGGGTCAAGTTCGTTTTCACACTTCCGACTTCAAGAAGAAGACCCATGACAATGACCAGCTGCGTGTGATATCGATCGACACCACCATACGTCACGTGATTGGACTCCCTCAAGATGTATCGAACAGGACTTGCTAATGAGAAGGTTAGGACCCACCGTGGATAAACTGCCATCTGCCAGCACCTGTCTTCAACGACAGGCTGCGGAACGGGTCTGTCGCGTGGCGAGTCGGCGCGGTTAATGTCGTCGACCTCGTGTGACACCGTTGGTTTGAGGCACCAGGTGGCGCTGCTGGCGCCGGTGGTGGCGGCGGTTGGTGCGCCGCGGGAGCACCTCGACCCACCACCACCGCCCCGCCTCCCGTCGTTTGTTTTCATTACACCACAGCGCCCGGGCCGCCGTGCCTTGGCCGGACAACCAACGCGATCGGGCGAACCTGACCCAGTAGCCCTCGGTGCGGCTTCGAATAGGCTCCTCAAGGAATCACGCGGCGGTGACGGGCTAGGGCCCCGTCGCACGCCGCCGGCTTCGATTCACCAGCGTTCTCGGCAGCCCGGCATCTCGTGGCGGCGGCTGCTAGAATTCTGCTGCCGAACGCGTCCCACGCCGACGGAGGAAGGCTTTTCGGGAATGCGGGCACTGGAGGAAAACAGACCCGGTCGTATCCCAAGGAAGGAAGTTGTATTTCTCGGTGGCAACGCTTGTGGTCCAACCTGGTGCCAACGCTGCGGGAATAGTTGGCGTGTTGGACACCGTGAAATAAAGCAAGGGTACTCACAGCCTGGCCATCGCATGAGGATTGTCTTCGGGGAGTTCTGCTTCGGGCAATCTTGTCCCCAACGGGATGTTTCGTAAATGGAGTAGCACAAAGCCCCTGGTCCCTACGGTCGAGGTTTCATTGTTGATTCGCTCGCAGATCGGAGGCTGGGGGCGGACGCTGTGAATTCGTTCGTGGGTGGATGCGATCCGCGCTGGGGTGGAGACGATTGTTCAGCACTGTCAGTCGAAGAATCTTCTCAAGGAGCTTCCCGACTGTCGCGTTTCGGAGTTTGAAGTAACTGGACAACTGAACGCCGGTTGTGGCGAAGAGAGATCCACGACTCCCAGATGCCGCTGGAAGAGTTTTTATTTCGAGGAAGAGTTCCATGGCGGTGGATACCTGGAGGTGTTTGGTACAATGCAGTGGCATACATACAAGATAAATATCCTAATATTTCCCACAGCACCTTATCCCAAACACATACCAATGCATCACCAGGCTCTTCGTGTTCTGAGTGTGGATAGGGATGAGTCCTATGAAAGGGCACATTTGGTTTTTCTTGATGATTGTGATGGCCATGAAGTAGGCACATATCGTACTTGATATGTTGAGAACTTTACATAGAATGTTTTTGTTCCCGCAAATTTCCAGAAAGAATGGTAATATGTCGGCCTCACAGATGCTATAAAACATTGTTTCCTCTATGATTATTTGCTCAGTATTAAAATTTGACAGTAACATGTGTTTGATACTTATTTGAGAACTGTTATCTATTTGTTGGAAGTATTTAGGCTATTACACGTACATCAACATGCATGATATCATTATTAATATAACATTATTACAAATTATACATTACGAACATAACATTATTATATTTACATATTAGTAGTTACAATGCACGGTCAAAAATAAGTGTTTCTGCACAATATTCCTGCCTCTGTCGTTTGGACAGCTGACTGCTTCGTTTTAGTAGACTGTTCTTTTTTGAAAATTTAATTGGTTCCACTATAAAATAGCCGTATAAGGTGATGGGTTAGAGACAGCAGTTTATGCAGATACCATTGGTATATAAATGGCAGGTTTGCCTGTCCAATCAATAATATCAATTTGGTTGTGTTTTCATTCGCCGGCTTCTTTGTGTGGTCTTTGAAATATTACACAACCTCGAACTGACAACCTCGAATTCGAAAACTTCAAACCTTCCATTTTGCCCCTGTGAGTTATTACAAGTCTAAGGGCTAGTTTCGTCAAAACGTACGTAATGCGTCGTCAGTAAGAGATTAAAGTGTTCACAGTTCAATTTCACAAGAGTATCCCAGGGTTGTGATCTGATAACTGATAACTTAAATGGGTGTACAAAATTCTTAAATAGTATATAGAAGGCTGTGAGCTGAAGACTATCTGGTTAGCATGTACTCGTATTTACTCTGATTAAACATATTAAAGCTACAGGGCATTATTTATTTTATCTACTTCTCTGAAATTCAAACGCACTATTATTTTCATTTAAACTAAACTATTCATCCTGCGATAGGCAACAGATTTATGATGATACTAATAAATAGGAAGCCATGGATTTTAGAAAATTTGCGTTAATCTATTTTCATCACAAAGCTGATCGTTGTTGCCAAATGCGGGTTATGGATTATAAAAACACATTTTTCGACGGAAAGACAGTTAAAGAACTGCTTCTTTATTGAAACCTTTCGGTATCAATGAACAATTCGTGTTTTGAAAACGTTTGAAATAAACGAGAGAAGCTATGATAACGTTTGAAAGGTTTTACTAAGGGGTGGACATGCTAAATAAGTAAGTGTTCTTTATGAAAGAATCTAACTCATCGCTTTATGAGAAAATATTTGAGTCAAGTGATATGAATTTTTCAGGGGAGCTGTTTGATGTGCTTTGAAAGACGATCTACCCATTAAAACGAACTTTATAGAAGGTTATTTCGTCGTTTTTAATCGAAAGAACTTACTGTAATTCACCTGCCTTGACATTAAGGATGGCATGGGGTAGCCGGGATGGATCTGCAAAGCTGGAGTAAATACATGCGCGGTCATCATATACGAACGTCGTACAGAAACATGTTGAAAACTTCTCATTAAGTGGTCTTTTGAAGAGAAACTGCACATTTTAGTGTTCATAGTACTGTAAAGCAAAATGTTCTCGACGCTGGTTGCCAAGCCTTGTCCCAAGATTTATCGCAGCTGTTGTATGTCTTTAGTAGGAGTTAGAACCTGAATCCTTGTGATTTTGAGACAAAAATGGCTCCGCAATATCGAGATGAAGAAACTTAATTATAACAACAGTAACCATGATTCCACTGAACATTATTTATTGAATAGTGACTACAGTTAAAATAGTTAATATTCTGAAAATCGGCAAATGGTAATAACGTCGGATATGTAGAATTAGAAGTATTATGTTATAATAAGCGGTTCATGGCTGTACCGCTTGAATAAAGATTGGCAGAATTTGTTGTCATAGCAATATTATTCTAAAAACTTTATAACAGTAAATACATAATCTCTCGCATTCATAAAACGTTTTTCCTTCAAACGTAGACTATGTAAAATAATGTTGTAGAGACAATATTTCAAAGAACACGGTACTTTTATCAGTTTTATAATTGATATGTTATAATCTGTTTGATAAGACCCCCTAATTTTTTCACCTTCCCTTAATGTTACCTTAATTAGTTGAGCTGAAATTACACTGTCAGCATATCATAGAAGAGGAAATGAGTTGAACTTTATCGAATACTACTTAAAAGAGATAATTGTGAGGCATCTGCGACAAGTGCCAGTACTGCTGTAGAAAAATTCGAAAATTAACTTGTGATATAAAAAAAATTATATTGTGTTGCTTTGAGCAAAAATGCACTCTGCTCATTACCTCGCGTCTGCCACTGATATATCTAAACCTCGATATCAAGGGAGACAGTTACAACTACTTTGGGGGAGCTACTACTCTTTTGACTCTGATCAGTAGTTTTCCGTGGTTTCTCCAACCTACACCAAGCGAATGCCGGAGCAGTACCCTAACAAACGGGACACGGACCGCACGCAATCTTTCTTTCCTCTTCGATGTCGTATCCTCACCTCTTACTTAAGCACATTACACTACCACACATGCCGAGAGACCGGTCGGGAGCTTAAAGCTTATTCCTGCTGGGGCGGTGCCCCGGTGCTGGAAGATAGTTGGTTAAGGAAAATCACCGCAAGACGACTTAGGTCGGCGCCGGATCTCACCAGACAGCGAGAGAAATCACCGTCATATCCCGCCGATAGAACGTGCAATACACTAACCTGACTACTGACCTTAGCAGTTGTCTCGCCCGGAATCACTAACCAGTAAGTCAGTCGACCATGTTTACGCATTTGGGGTTCGATCACACACGTCTTAGAAATGAATCACTGTACGCGAGGCCACTGTGAGTCGCGTATCTGCATCACCAACCGAAACAGCCGCGCCAGGGGGACTCAAGCCCATGCTTCGCGACTGCCCAACGCCGACAGGCTGGGGCATCTAAAATGTCAAAATTCCATTTCCTCGATAGTCAGTTTCTGCTTTAGTTACTTCCTACTCCCTCGCATGCCTCATCCAGCTCGAAGTCGCACCTCGGGTCTTATGAAGATGAGGGTGCTCTCCCATTGATGATGAAGCGATATCCCCAAAAGCTTCATTTTACACGGTATGAGGCGGTCGGTAAAATTAGTGTTTTGGACTGAAATTGGTTACAGCTGTGCAAGCGAAAACTATTGATGCATTTATAATTGAGACAAAATGCTAAGGTTGTGATTTCACAAATATTACCTTCATATCGCTGTAAATTGGTAAGATATTAAATGTATTAAACTACTTTGTTTAATTTAGTTTAATCTATGTAATTGCCCCAGGCCAAACCACAGTTCATGTTTAGTATAATAATTCAGGTTTCAAACGGAGAACATTGAAAGAGCTCAAATATTCTAACGAGATTAAATCATTTAATATATAAATTGTGTGTAAAAGGGTAAAGGAAGTTCAGAATTAGATTATAAAAGTGTAAATATATGAATATTAAAGCTCCTTTTTTGTAAACAGTGTATTTAGATTTAGATGATTTTCATAGGGAAAAATGATCATGCTCCGTTGGTAATTTTTGGTAATAAGGATGGGTAAGAAAGAAAATAAATACTTAGTAAGGTGTTTATCTACTTTATTATTTCATTGATTAGAGGCGAAATTAACATAAGTAATTTTTGAAAACAGTAAGATTTCAAAACCTTCTAATTGTGTTTATGTACAAATGTTTTTGGCAGCTTAACAAAAAACCGTAGACCTTGCCAATAATTTCAACATCCACTGTATTATCCAAGTTTTATTTTTTGTTCTGTTTCTTTTATGAACATGAGTAGTGTTCTCTAATTTTAATACAGTCACTATTCAGGAATTGCTTTGAATAGCTTATCAATTAAGAAACGATCCAGCATGAAGGAAATCACCTGAGAGTTTACAGTACCACAATAACTTCAAATATTTTTTTATTTCCTGATTCACAATTATTTTGGACTGAGAAATATTAGATTGTTGTTGTACATTGCTCGAGACATGAAAAGTTCAAATACATATGTACGTACTTGAATAATCCGTACTTGTATATTGAATTAATTCAATATTACAAAAAATTCATAAACTTGAAGAATTTTTCATTTTCTTTTATTTTATATTTAACTTCATTTTGTTATTTAATGCTTTTTTGTTTTATTTTGTGGTTTTTATTTATTATTTTATTTTGTTATTTAATTTTCTTACTTTATTTTATTTTAATTGAAATACATTGTACTTCTTTGATTTGAGTTAGGAGAATGCAACCTATATAAAACTGAATGAGCATATGATTGTCTCTTCTCTTATCTCATTACATATGCTCAGAGTTTTATAAACTCTTTCAGTTTTGCTTCTTTAATTAAAAATGATGTATCAACCTTTGATGTATCATGTGACCCGAAACTGCATTATATCCTATATGTTACTCAGATTTAAAAATAGAGAATATTTTCTTGCTGCATTATTGTTTTTCGTTTTGAACAACTTTGATCACATCGAAATCGAAGAATCAATTTATTTAACTAGTTTACAGATGCACATGGAAGCGCTGCTATGTTAACAGTTGGTCACCGCCTTCTAGATCATTGTGTCCATTTCATGCCTATATGCGGGGATCGAGTATTTGAATCACAGTAAACTACGAAACGAACAAATAACGTTGTAACAACAGTATACACGTGAAAATTATTTAAAAATAATATTCGTGAGTTTTCATGAATTATGGACACTGTATTCGAATGTATTACAATAACAGGGGACAATGAAACGTATTACTTTAGTTGTTTACAATCCTACATTGCTTACTAGTACATGCGCATGATATGAATGGCTCTAGAAGGCCATACAAATAAAGTAAACAATAATACTTCCTTAGTTTACCGTTTTTACTTCCGTGTTTACAAGTAATGCCCATCCACAATTCGAAGGTTTGGAAACCGGGATGTACAAAAGTTGTCATCCGGCAGCGGATATCCGTCATAATTAATATGACTA